ATTCTATTGTCTCGACTAGACCATAACTTTCAATCGTCACTCACACCAGAATCAGTGCAAGAGTTACGATTCACAGAGAAGTATTGTGGCTAATTTTAGTTCATATTTTCTTAACTTACTTATATTGTTAGAATGAAATACAGAATCTAGTGTTTATCTGAATATCCCAACTACAGACGCTATTTTAAGTCAGTAGACATGGTGAAACATCTTATTGGTTCGAGGTGCAAAAGGGGGTGAGGCAGGGGTGTATCCTCTTACCATAGCTTTTCAATATTTACGCAGAAAATATAATGAGAAATAACAAAAATGACCAGACTTGTGACAGTTATGATTCTCTCAAAATTGCTGGCAACCCTATTCCCGAACTTCGCCACGCACATGACGCAGCCCTTCTTTCGAACAGCGTAAAGGGAATAGAAAATTTAATATTGTCTGTCCAAAAGCACAGTGAAGTCAAAATCTGTTCTTCAATTTAAAGAAAACCAAAGTAATGTCCACAGATAAAAGTGGCTGTCACTCAAAAATAACAATAAATGATAAAGAAATTGAAAAAGTCACAAACTTTGAATATCTACGCTATATAATAAACAGCAATGGAGACTGACATAAATTAAAAGCAGGATGGCCATAGCAATGCGAAGACTGAACAGCCTTAAAAGTCTATGGTTAAGCACCAGCAAGGATATCAAAATTAGAACTTTGACAGCATGTATCTTCCCTTTGGCTACATACGGATGTGAGTCGTGGGCTATCTCTCAGGCCTTAAGAGAGAGCATAGGGGCTTTTGAGCTGAAATGCAATAGAGAGATTCTCAGAATACATTGGACAAAAAAGAGGAAAAATACTGTCATCTTGAAAGATCTGAACATCAAGGAAAATTGGCTAATAAACAGCATCCTGTCTCGGAAACTGAAATATGTTGGTCCTATCAAGCGCCAAGACGGATTGGAAAACATTATAGCAGAAGGCGTGTTACCAGGAAGGAGGTGAAGGTGCCGACCGACAAGACTATGGGCACAGGATATAAGTGACTCCTTGGGTATGAAAGCACATGAGGCGGGAGAACTGGCGGGAGACCGAGTTTCTTTCAGGCAGACCGTGATAAGTGCGACGTTCTGCAAAGGACCTGCTACATGATGATGAGACATAAACATGAAAAGCACAACTATTAGATTATACAAGAACCCAACCTAGATAGCTAAATAAATCTGTCAGCTAAAATGCCATCGTCAGCGTGAAACAACAAAACAAAACAAAAGAGAGAAAATACTGATGCAACGACATTAAAAAAAAGAACAGGAAATGTCACTTGGCGTTTTTTATGGGAAGTCCTGGCAGATGCAAATGGAGCTAATGGGTCTACAGTTTGAGGGGTGAGGATGGGTTTATGGGTAATCACGACGTCAGCATTGACGTGGATGGCTGGCAACAGGTTCGGGAGAAAACATGGTGTCTGATTCTCACTGTGTGCTGAATACACTCAGAGGTGCAGCCGTAACGAAACATTGGGGTTCGCCTTCAACTATGTTACAGTTGTCCAGATTGACGAGGGCTCAAAGAACTCAAGCCTTGTTTAAATGTGCAACTATCATTATTATTATTATTATTATTATTATTATTATTATTATTATTATTATTATTATTATTATCATAGTGCGTTGAAAAGTCAAGACATATTTTTAATAATATGAAATGTATCTACTTCTTCGCTTTCCCCGATTGTAACCTCCAGCGAAAAGTTTGGGTGTTCGTCCACCTCTGGACTCTAGTCTTGTTTCAGAGCTGGAATGTTGCGTGCACATCCGCTCTACAGATCTGACTTATGTGTGTGCAGATGCTGGTTCCTTGCCTCTCAGGCAGATGCACTCCTACTTCGAAGGAAGCCGTCCGTTAGTCGACTTATACGACATGCTTATTGGAAAGGCAGTGGATCTAGTCTTGTTTTCCTCAGAGCAGCACCACTACCCCACACGAGGATTGACAAAGTACAAAACCATACTTTAAAAGAGAGCGTCTGTCTACCGTTAGGGAATCGCTTAACCTAGGGCTGTCTTAACAACATTATGGGCCCCTGGGCAAACTAGTGTGCTGGGGCCACTACAGCAACGACTCACATGAATGAAGTGTAAAATTATAATATTTATTAAATACTTTCTTCTGCACTTCAACAAAATTGGTGTTAAAACATAAACATAGATCAGGAGATACGTCATGAAATTACTACGAATTTCTTTCTATAACAAAAATGTATGGCATTTGTTTTCATAGAATTGCTTTATTGTTTGTTTGAAGTCAGTGGTCTTCATGGTGCCATTAGTCGACACACACTCACACACACACACACACACGCGCGCGCGCACACACACACATACACACACATACACACACACACGCGCGCACGCGCGCGCGCGCAGACACACACAGTTATTTTTAACATCCTGCATACAAACACACATTTGTATTTCATATTGTAACTTTTTTTTCAGTGCAGGGAGAGTCTAGATATTTTTATTAAGAGCCATGTGTTTTAGAAAATCACATTCTTTTGAAAGTCATCACAAATCAGGTCTCTAGAACACATACTAGCAGATGCTCAAACTTTTTCTTTAGAACACCAGAAGCAATGGTTTTCAGTTCACTCATGACAGAAGACAGGTTTCCAATCTGTGAATAACCTTTGCACGCATCGTCATTTCAAAGATAAGACTGCCCAGAACAGGAAGATGTCCCTATTCTGTCTGTTGTGGTGAATCATCCTTTCTACTAAAATGCAGACATCGTTGTTATTCCTGCTTCTTCCCCTTCACTGTCATCTCTATCTGGACACATACTCCTGGCTTTGAAATTATATCCTCGAAATCTGTCTGTGGTATCCTGGAGATAGTGTTTTCAAATACTCTGAGAGATTCGTGGTAACAGGAATACGCTCATCCTTTGTTTGCAAGAGCTTGCTTGTTTCATTTATAATTTCTAGCAAGTCATTCCAAAGAATTTTATTGAAATCCCCATATAGAGCATGCACAACATGGCATGTACTGACCATCGTATGTCGGACAAACACTTGACCACAACATGGCGTGTACTGACCATCGTATGTCGGACAAACACTTGACCACAAAGTCTTGTCCTCAAGATCATGTCAATACATGACATCGATGAGCAGAAGCAGCAACAATTGAATGTAGATTCAGAGCAATGTCAAATAGTTTTACAGACTGTAGATAACTGTCTGCTGCTTTTACTCGTACCAAGTTCAGGCTGCGTCCAGCATAGTGGACACAGATGGCAAACCCGCTGAGTCGATGACCCCCTCTCCCTTTGTTGTTGCAGTCCAGTGTATTGCCCATAAATACTTGAAGTATTGTCGTATGACTGACCACGGTAGTTCGAAACTTAAATTGTGCTCCAATTAAGAAAATCCGCAGCTATGTCTGCTAGCTTCTGAGAAAGGATTGAGATGGAAATCAAGAAACGTCTCACAGAAACATAGCTTTTAATCACTTTGCACCTATACTTATTAAATATTAGGTTGACTCTCTCACTTTTTCAAGGATATTACACAGAGCCTCTTGTCCAATTAAATGAACTTCTCAAATCCATTGGGAGAGACATCTGACGCATTCCCCTTTCCAGAATATTCATCTATTTTAAAATGCTCTAGGAAAGAGGCAAATTGACACGGCAGCTCTAGCTTACCTATCTAGTTGTCATTGTGTGCTTTGTGCTGACACAGTGATCTCATCTTTTTCACGAAATGGCAAACCTTTAGAGGCAAGTAAGCGAACTATAGAAATACAAGTGTCAAAACTTGATGCCAGTATTCATAGTCTGGGCTGTCATGCATTTTCGTTGTTGGTCTCCAGTTTCATGTTCTACGGTAGATTAGCATGGGGCGCCAATGCTGGGGCGGCCCTGTGCAAGTTCCCAGCAGGCTCATGTGTTACGACGGCCATGACGTAACCACAAGGGGGATCTCGGCAGGGGCGAGAATAACATTGGGGTCTCAGCCCTCGTCATATTATGAGTGGGGGAGGGGTGGAGAAAGGCGGGGGGGAGGGGGTTCTCAGCCGACCCCACAATTGTTTTTTTTTTTTTTAAAGAAAGTGGTCTGGTCCCCAAATTTGAGTACGCCCTAAAAGTGTTTCAAAAGAAAATGAAATCGGTGCCATGATTGGATGCTTAACATCCAAGTCGCCTTGGTGGATACTAAACATTAGGTTTACCTCTACATCTGGTCACCTCAGCTAAGTGTTGGAGATAGCTGAAAGTATTTTCTCTGTGCTCTGTATAGCAGGTTCTGTAATGTACCATAATTTCTTTCTTGTTCTTTTTCGCCGTTTTGTCCTGGCTTTGTGGCGTATTTATTTTTCTTCTTAAGCCTGGCTTTCTTGTTATAACTGGTACCAGGATCATCTTTTCAAATAAGCAAAGCATTTCATCCATTGCTCTTTAGCTGACTGTAACAAAGCAGCCCCACTTCAATATAACATGAACTGTGAACTGTGTCCGTTTCCTTCAAACAGGACATGCAGGAGTGTGAGGCAATGAACGAGCTGTTTGCTACACAGGCGACAGCAGCAAGAATACTCAGTGACTAGAGCACTGACACGTAGATGCTAAAGCCCCTAGAGGGCCCCGCCCCTTTTTCCAGATATAGAAGTTCTCTTTTTAGCTTTTTTTTTTACAAACTATAATTTGTTTAATATAAAAATAATATATTAGTATGTTTATTTACCATTCAGCGTATTATAATTATTCTGATCACCAGCATCGTGATTTTTGTTAAGCAGCCAACAAATTCGAAAGCCCCTCGAGACTCTACCCTCCCCCCCCCCCCTCTTTTTTAAAACTAAATTTGTAAGGAGGCTGAGTCCCGTACCTTCATACCACCCCCCCCCCCTTTTTTTTTTAACTCGGTTTTCTTTGTGTCGGCGCCAAAACTGGTGGATGTCTGAAGCTTAGTCATGATTGACGTTCCGTGTCAGATACAATGTTTCATGCAACAACACGCCAAGCTCTGTGTCACTGTCTACAATGTGCAGTGGCGTCGATTTTTAATACCAGCAGTAGGTAGACCTTTATTTCCGAATATCTGAATAATGGTGTGTACAGTAATCCAGGCGCCTTCTTATTATTGTTATTATTATTATTATTATTATTATTGGTATTATTAATATTATCTTACTTAGTCGCTTCTCTTCTACCTTAGGGTGTAGAGGTTTGCCTGAGAGATCGCCAGACGTCTCTATTAGCAGTTTTCCTTCTGGCCTTGTTCCATTGCAGTCCTCTGTCAGTTAGGGATGTTGTCTTCCCATCAGTCTCTGGGTCAGACTGGAGGTTTGGTTTCCTGGTTCTTAGGCTCCCATGCCTCAAATGGTGGCCAGTTTTCTCCCATTCTGAATACATGTCCAAACTAGGGCTGTACCGAATATTCGCTTCGTATTCGCTTAGGGGCCGAATAGTTGACCTAATAACTATTCGGTTTTCGGTCGAATACTTGCGGTCGGGCCGAATACGAATAGTGGTTACCTCACACCCGTTTCTGGACTGATGGAAAATAAGCATGTCAAGATATCCCACCTTGGTTCATACTGTCCAGTGTTATCTTTGTGCACCACCTACGAGCGTGCCAAGTGAACGTATGTTTAGTACAGCTGGAAATACCTTCAGTGAGACAAGAAGCTGCCTTAATGCTCACAACATGGAACGATCGGTTAATGCCGTTTTCATGGATTAACTAAGCTGTCAGTGACAATTTACAAGTTTAGTTACTTGTTATAAAACTAAGAAAACTTTCATTCCTAGGTATTAGTTACCACTGACTGACTGAAGGGTGTAAAACATAAAATGTTTTTAAATGTTTACTATTCTGTACTACATTTTGTGAAGTAACATTTCAGCGTACATTTGACATTATGAATGGTTTTCTTAACCCTATTATGTACACTATTCGAAAGTGGAAGAATGGGCCTCAGTTTGAATAGTGGGAAGGCAGGAGTAATGGTAGTATTAAAAAAAAAGTATTCCTAAATGTCTAATAGAAGTCAATGGTTTTACTTTAGGACAAGTACAGAAATTTAAGTATCTGGACACATGCATAACATCAGATTGAAGTTACATTACTGAAATGAGCAAGATAGTATGACCGGCAAAAACTGCATTTTATCAAATGAAGAACATCTTATGCAATATATCCTTGTCATTGAGAGTTAGAAAAAGAATTCTTACTTGCTACATACATCCAGTTTTAACATATGGCTGTGAGTCTTGGACAATCGGTAGGCAGGCCACACAATTTCTTGGGGCCTCAGAGATGTGGTTTTACAGAACAATGCTTAAAATACCTTGGACAGCAAAAAAAAAAAAAAAAAAAAAGCAACCAAGAGGTTTTGAAAGAGGCGTGAGCCCGAAGACAACTACTCACAGACATCAGAAGGAGACAATCATCATTTTTCGGCCAAGTTATGAGATGAGGGGAAATGGAACATGTGGTGACCACTGGAAAGATATGCGAAAGGAGGGATAGAGGAAGACAATGAGAGAAAATTCTTGACAGTCTTGTTGCATGACATGGGGGTGTGTCAGCACACGAACTGATACATGCTGCAGGAGATCGCAGATTGTGGAGAGGCATAATCGCCCACGCCAGTCGGCAAGGCACCCAATGATGATGATGATACACTATTCGTATTCGTATTCATATTCGATCGAATAGTTGGTCCAGCTATTCGTATTCGGCCGAATAGTGAAAATCACTATTTGGTACAGCCCTAGTCCAAACCATCGTATTATTATTACAATTATTATTATTATTATTATTATTATTATTAGCTGCAGCGGTAATTGTATTTGTTGTTGCCGTTGTAGGACTATTAGTAATATTCTACTGGATTTTCTTCTTCTGCTACTTGCAATAGCACTAATACTACTACTTACTACCACTTCTATTGCTACTACTGCTGCTACTACTACTACTATTATTACTAACACTTCTATTACTACTACTACTGCTACTGCTATTGCTACCACTTCTATTACTACTACTACTGCTACTTCTATTGCTACCACTTCTATTACTACTACTACTGCTACTACTACTACTATTATTACTACTACTTTTATTACTACTACTACTGCTACTTCTATTGCTACCACTTCTATTACTACTACTACTGCTACTGCTATTGCTACCACTTCTATTACTACTACTACTACTACTACTACTACTACTACTACTACTACTACTACTACTACTACTACTACTACTACTACTACTACTACTACTACTACTACTATTATTACTACCACTTATATTACTACTTCAACAACGACTACTACCATTGCTACCACTTCTATTACTACTACGACTACTACTACTTCTACTACTATTACTCTATTACTACTACTACTATTACTACTACTACTACTACTACTACTTCTACTACTACCACTACTACTACTACCACTACTACTACTACTACTACTACTACTACTACTACTACTACTACTACTACTGCTACTACTTCTACTACTACTACTACTACTACTACTACTACTACTACTACTACTACTACTACTACTACTACCACCACTACTACTACTATACTACTACTACTACTACTACTACTACTACTACTACTACTACTACTACCACTACTACTATTACTAATACTACTACTACTACTACTACTAGTGCTGCTGCTGTTATTACTACTACTACTATTACTACTACTACTACTACTACTACTACTACTACTACTACTACTACCACTACTACTACTACTACTACTACTACTACTACTACTACTACTACTACTACTACTACTACTACTACTACTACCACTACTACTAGACATTTTTCCTAATCTGTTGTATCTTTTCCTCAAGCTCTTTCGTGTCTTTACTTGATAGATATGAATATTCTTTTATTTGCTGCTTCGGTTCATGCATATAGCGATTTGTTGAATTGCTGCTTCGGTTCATGCTTGTAGCAACTATGATTCGAGCCTCGGAGATGAGACACGTCAGTCTGAGCTTTTCTAGCCTACAAAAAAAAATAACTGCTTGTTATTCTATTGTTTCTGCAGAGCTGACTCCGTGGACTCGCTAATTGGGAAACTGGGTGGTTGTGGACGGTTTCAAGTTCTCTTTGTTTCTCTGGCATATTTCCCATTGGTGCCAGCAACCTGGTCGCTGTTGTTCATGATCTTTGGCAACTACAACCCTGGGCTGGAATGTGGGGACGATTATCCTGTCTACAGCAGCGATTCCTTCAAACAGACACCTAACACGACAGAGTCAAGTATACTCAACACGATGCAGTCAAGCAACCTAGAAAACGATAACTTTCTCCATAACACAACTGTAGTATGTTCTTGTGTGACGATTAAATCACATAAGAACTGGACTTTCAATAAAGCAGCTTTGACGGTGGTCACAGAGTGGAGTTTGATCTGTGAGGATTCATGGAAACGCTCCACCATCATATCTGTCCAGATGGTTGGGGTCTTGCTAGGTTCACTTGTGGGTGGACAAATTGGAGATCGGTTTGGTAGAAAGTCCAACATCCATGGCGGTGCAGCACTGCTGACGGTAACCAATATTATAGGTGTGTTCTCTGTCTCTTGGGTGATGTACGCTACTGTGAGATTCTTCATTGGATTCGCCGTTGGAGCTATCCTTTCAACGGTCACAATCTACAACATGGAGTTCCTCCCGTCCTTCTGGAGAGGTTTCATAGGGACATTTCCTTTCTGGACAATATGTACATTCACCTTGGGGTTGTGTGTGATGGCGTTGAAGAACTGGAAGCACGTACACATAGCTACTGCTTTTGTTGCCATGTTGGCTTTCCTGTCCGTGTTCTGGCTTCCAGAAAGTATGCGGTTTCTAGCAGTTCATGGGCATTTGACACAGGCAAACAAAGTTGTCAAGAAAATTGCCAGGTTAAACAAGAAACCGTTACCGGATACATCCATCGTGACAAGAATTGCAGAAGTAGAGAAAGAGTCTTTGAAGGAAAGATCTAGTTACACATACCTTCATCTCTTCCACAAAAACATCAGGAAATATACCATAATTGTTGGAACGACTTGGTTTATCATTTCTCTTTCAAGTAACACTATTGGGTTTGGTCTGAATGCATTCTCTGGTGACTTCTTTGTGAACCTGTTAGTTCTGTTTGTTCTGCCGTTTCCAGCTAGACTACTGGGTCTCCTGATCACATCGAAAGTCGGCAGGAAAATAGCTATGCTTACAAATATTTGCCTTTCCTTTGCCTGCTCATTTCTGATAGTTGGCATTCAGCTAGCCGCTCCTGAAAATTGGCGGGGCCTGGCGACCACGGCCCTTGCGCTTGTGGCAAATATCTTCATAGAAGCTTCATGGGGAGTGGCTGTAGTGTTCATTGGTGAGCTGTTCCCGACGGGTGTTAGAAACATGGCGTACGCTTTCTGCGGTGCCGTCTCCAGGGTCGGAGCCATGCTGGGGCCATACCTGATTCTGAAGGAATCCATGCCCATGTGGAGCGTCTTTCTGCTGATCGGGTTACTTTTACTGATTTGTTTTCTGGCAGTTCTGACCTTACCTGAATCAAAAGGAAAGCCACTACACGACAATCTGGAAGTGAAAGTAACGAAAGGTCAGGACTCAGACGTCAATAGTCACGTGTAACATAACAACAGCAACAATAGCAGTCATAACAATAGAATATCAGGTATTTAAAAGTAATATTCACATGTTTTTTTAAAGAGCATATTTACCATTAATGTCGTATTTAAAAAGTATCAATAAAAACTTAAAGTAGAACTAGCAAGTTTCACTTACAAATTTGTAAAGTTGGGCATCTCATCTATCGCCGAAATATAATGTAATTTAATATGGCATCAAAGCTAAACATACACATAAGGAAACTGTAAAACAACGACCTGAGTAAAAATACAAAACAAAGTCAGTGGGTTTTTTTTTTTTTTTTTTGAGTAGGGTGGTGGGGTATTTTTTTTTTTTTTTAGTAATTGTTTTTAATTAAATGTGTGACGTAATGGTCTAATTTATAGAAATGTTTTAAATGCCATAACGTGGTCATCTCAGAGTCCGTTTATTATTGTGTGTGTTTTGTGTTTTGTCTCTCTTTGCTGTTGTGTAGATGAACTCTAACCGCTGCAATCTAGCTCTGTGTAGCAGACGTATACTTTTTTGTTTGTTTCCTCCAGTGGGATAGAGCGTTGATTAGCCAAAACATAACAGGCGACAACGGTCATTTTAGGCTTGTGTAGCTTTTTTCGAAATACCCATGAATCTATCCGGAGTGCTGGGATAATAACCTACTGTGTAAATAAAACTTCAGTAAGACACATTTCTAGTACCTGTTCTTAATGACTCAATAGTGTCATCCATATATGTTATAAACTAGGAAGTTCTTAATGGTTTGTCACAGAACATATCCAACATTTGTTCAACTTTTCTTATTTAATTCAGTCAGTATTCTGCATTCACAGAGTCCTACGAGGAATCTTGAGACCAATTAAAGAGGCAAACAGCGGGAAATGGAGAGTGAGAAGAAACAGTGAAATTCATAATCTGTTTAAATCACTATTGATCACTAGTATCATGAGAGCTAATAGACTGAAATGGCTGGCGCAAATTGAGAGAATATCAGAATACAGAAAGGTACAAACTGTATACACAAAGGAGCTAAATGGTCGTTGACCAAAAAGACGACGGCGATATTAAATCTAAACACACCTGCAAACACCAACTGGATGCAGGGTACTAGTCACATATATGAAAGGAGGCAGGTGATATCTGCAGCAATGAACCTCAGGGGCTCCCTCTTTTCCTGGGGGTGGGGAGGGGGGACAACAAACATTGAAATACAAAAACATCCCAGCTTCGATACTCAAGAATAGTCGCTTCTGTAGTGCTTCCCCCTGCAGTACTTCTTAGTAGTGCTCAGGAGTCTGCTGCAAATGAACTAGTGATGTCAGTGAGTTCGACCATGTAAAGAAATGTGGGGCAAAAACGAGTAATTCAGAGAGCTATGATTCCCATTCACTGATTGTTTTTGGATTGCTGCATTTCCGGTTCTGTTTTTCCCCCTATTTTCTTGAAGCCAGTGTTTGGCTATACCTGTAGGTATTAGCTGAAAATGTATACTTCGTCACAGAACCTGCATACTTCTTTTCTGCTGCAGCAGCTGGCCTTGATGTGCTAGACCTAGTGACACTGTCAGCATTGCAGAGTTTAGAACTGCATTTGGTAGGAAAAATTCCAAAAGAGCTGTGACCGTCTTCAGCAGCAAATGTAGAGTTCCCAATCCTTTTGTACCAGTAGCAGTCTCATTGTATGTGAGTCTTACATTTCCTTAGAGCGGAGGAGGGGGTTACTATGAACAGACACAACAGCAGCTCTGTCAGGTCATTATAGTACCAGGAAGATAATGTAGAGAGTGGTGTAACGGTGTGGCAGAACCAGTAGTAGAAGAACTGATAGATATTAAAGATATTAAACAAATTCAGCATTGAGCCGGAAACAGGCGGACTTTTAATCAGATTCCAGCTGGTACTATTCGCATGTCGACTCTTCTTTGGCTACTGAAGAAGGGACGAAGCATGTAAAGCAATATCCTGAGTCATAGAATTGCCAATTCTTCATTCATTGTCTTAAAAACAATCTTTAAATATTTTAATAATTTCATAAGGCAAGTTCCTTTTCTTAAATATTGTTAGATGCCACATGTTGCTTGATGCCGACAGATTGTCTAATGAGATTTTCTTGAAGAGGCTTTCCCTTTGTCTCCGGTAGTGTCAGGTATGCGGCAAAAGATGTCAGCTGCAGCAGTGCCTGTATGATGAATGCTGCATACATAGGCAGTGAGTGCTTTGGCACTAAATGTGGCGCAATGATGGCGGCCAGTCTTGCAGCGGCAGAGCAAAAACCGTAAGACAATGTTCGGACATCCGTTGGGAAGAGCTCGTTTCCGAAGATCACCGTAGCTCCCCAAGCTCCTTCTGTGAGCATGTTTATTCCAATAGCCAGCACAGCAGTGGGTGATCCTTTACTATCTTCTGAGGCTACCAACTGAACGACGACTATAACAAATGAGAATACGCTGGATAAAAGAAACAATAGGCAAGCAGCGAGCTTCCTACCAAACCTAGTTACAATGAATACAGCAACGAGTCTTACAGGAAAGGGGAGAGCAAAATACAATAGCATGTTCACGAAGAAATCCCCGGAGAGGGCACTCAGACCAAACCCGATCATGTACTGAGATAAGGCTAGAACGAACCAGCCGTAGCCCAGAACTAATGTATACTTTCTAACATTTCTATGGAAGAGATGAAGATACGTGTAACTAGCACCAGCCTTCAGAGAGCGACTCTCTATGTTTGCAATTGCCTCCATGATGGACGTGTCCGGCACAGGTCTCTTATGTAATCTGGCAATTTTCTTGACTACCTTGTTTGCCTTTTTCAGATGACCATGAACTGCCAAAAACCGCATGCTCTCTGGAAGCCAAAACACTGGCAAGAAGGCTAAAAGAGCCACAAAAGCTATGGCACCATGAAGGTGTCTCCAGTTTTTGAGCGCCATCGCACACAAGGCAAATATACTAGTAGATAAACTCCAAATAGGAAGCATTATGACAAAACCTCTCCACCAGGATGGAAGGAACTCGAAATTATAAACGTTACAAGTGGCCAGAATACATCCAACAAACAGCCCAATAAAGAACATTAGAACTGCGTACATCTGCCAAGAGACAGAGAATATAGCCACAACATTAGCAACAACCATCAGAGCACAGCTACCGTGAATGCTAAACTTGCGACCAAACATGTCTCCGATCTGCCCTCCCGCGTACGCCCCTAACAGAACCCCAGTCATCTGAACTGAAGCGATAAGCGAAGACTTCCAGGAATCATCACAGACCAAACTCCATTCTGTAATTATGGTAGAGGCGGCATTGTTGAATGTCCAGTTTCTGAAAGTCTTCATCTCGTCACAGCTACAAAGTTGACTTGTAAATTCACTGACGTTGCTTCCCACTTGTTGTATTGTACGGTCATTGTTCTCTGTAAGGTTGAGCCATGTATCACCTTGACACGTCCAGCCAGGGTTGTATTTTCCAAACATCATGATGGAGATGCCCCAGGAGCCAGGCAGGATGGGTAGGTATCCTAGCAACAGGAGAATGACCTGGAAACGTCCACACCCACCTAATTCTTTGATGAGTATATCTAGTGTATACAACCTGAAATTATAATACAGTATACCACGTTATTGCCATTCTTTACATTTTTCACAAATCCAAGTTATAAAACAACATGAACAATAATCTATTGATATCGTGCCAATATTTTTTACAAAATAAAGTGTTTTTAAACAAATTCACATCTGAAACGTAGCTTATTTTCAAGTCCGTGTATACACGAGCCTTCAGCAGTCACGAAAGCATTGACAGCAGAAGTGCCAATGTATCTACAAAGAGGTAAAATCTACAAAAGATACATCACCAACAAGATAATGCTACTGACTCCAGACTAACAGAGAGAGAGCGGGAATATCAACAGAGGAGATGGCAAACGCCAATGACCCAGGGAATGTCAAAGACGACAAAGCCAAGCAATAACTCGTGAAGGTCATTTGTAAAACTGGGATGATGAGAATGAACCCACAAGGTAAAAAAAAAAAGAAAACAAACAAAACCAACACCAGAGGGAAAGGAAGAAATTCGGTGTGGTCTACTATAATCTTCCCAACCGCACTAGGTCACGGTCCATTTATAGATACTTTTTAGACTCGTCTGCTATCCGGAGGGTACATGGCTATGTTGTTTAATTTCTGGCTTGTCTTCCATTTACGTTTTTCTTTTAAAAAAGAGAATGCCTGTGACATAGGTTGCAGCACTCTCTAGGGCAGCACTCTCTAGGGAGTGGTGGGTTAGACCCAGTTTGTAAATGTTTTTGTAGTGTTAAAAGTAGGGCTGTACTGAATATTCGCTTCGTATTCGCTTCGGGGCCGAATAGCAGACCTATTAACTATTCGGTATTCGGCCAAATAGTTGCGGTGTGGCCGAACACGAATAGTGGTTACCTTACACCCGTTTCTTGACTGGTGGAAAAAAAACATATCAAGATTTTCCACCTTTGTTCATACTGTCAAGCGTTATCTTTGTGCACCACCTACGAGCGTACCAAGTGAACGTCTATTTAGTACAGCTGGAAATACCTTCAGTGAGACAAGAAGCTGCAACATGGAACGACTGTTTTTTTTTTTTTTTTCAACGACTTTTTGTTTTTTGTTTTTGAAAGCTTATGCCGCTTTCATGGATTAACTAAGCTGTCAGTGACAATTTACAAGTTTAGTTACTTGTTATAAAACTAAGAATACTTTCATTCCTATGTGTTTAGGTAACACAGACTGACTGACTGAAGGATGCAAAACATGAAATGTTTTTAAATGTTTGCTATTCTGTATCACATTTTGTGAAGTAAAATTTCAGCGTACATTTGACATTATGGATGTGTGTTTTTTTTTTTTTTTTTTTAGATCTATTTTATACACGAAATGGAAGAATGGGCTCAGTTTGAATAATGGGAAGACAGAAGTAATTAGTTCGTGTCAGCACACGAACTAATGCATGCTGCAGGAGATCGCAGATTGTCGCTAGGTATAATCGCCCATGCCAGTCGGCAAAGCTCTTGATGATGATGATTCACTATTCGTATTCATATTCGGCCGAATAGTTGGTCCAGCTATTAGTATTCGGCCGAATAGTGAAAATCACTATTCGGTACAGCCCTAGTTAAAAGTGCTGGCGTGCTTAAATATACAACACGCGATATGAACGCATTGCCGAACAACCCCTTAGCAGTATACGAAGGTCGGGTGGAGGCTGACCATTCAAACGCGAGCTAGTGTGTAACGTGGGGAGATTATCGTGGATCATACCATAGGCACGAATGAAACTAGAGGGACACGATCTTACTCCCATAAAGAACGTTCTAGGCAGGAGAAATGTGACCAATGTACGGAAAGCAAACGAAGATACAGTGGAGCAGACAGCAAACCCTAAGACAACTTTCTGCCATCCAGCCCACACAAACAGGGGAGAGACAGGTTCGGCCACGAACATGGACGCTAAGCCATCCGAGGGCCCTTGTCCCAAAATATTTTAAGGGGGTGGGGGGTAGCTAGTTTTTGTTCAGTCACATATTGTATTGAATATATTCATACATTTATTTACCATTCTGCATATTGTCTTATTATCCGGATTGGTAATACTATTATTACTGAGCATTTAAACAAGGATAAGGTTTCCTAAGTCGTCTGCTTTCCCCACCACACACCGCCCTCCCCTACTCCCCCCCCCCCCACACACACACACACACTTCCTGCATCAGAGAATTTGCAAGGAGCTTTCCATTCTCCCCATGTTTGTTTTTTTTCGTGTGTGCACAACCCATGATATAAGCATCAAAGACACCGTCTACTCAGCTGATACAAGACTGAGGATGAAACGAGCTGGAAGTTACATCTTCTTCTTCTTCTTCTTCTTCTTCTTCTTCTTCTTCTTCTTCTTCTTCTTCTTCTTCTTCTTCTTCTTCTTCTTCTTCTTCTTCTTCTTCACTTCCTCTTTTACCGCTGTGGGTGTCGAGGGAGATATAAGGTTCTGTTTCTAGCTCTTCTGGCTGCCTCGACCATAGGCACATCGTGCTGTTGTAGAGTTTCTCTGATGTTATCCTTCCATCTTGTTCTTGGTCTACCCCGTGCTCTACGTCTTTCTTCTCTTTCCATGTATGCTTTGTATGGTATGGTGTCACAAGGCATTCTCTCTAAGTGGGCAAACCATTTCACTTGCTGTCTTTGTATGTAATCCAGAATTGGTTCTGTGCCGACTTGTTCTCTTATGATCTCATTCCTGATCTTATCTCTTATGGTCACTCCTGCAGCCCTTCTCAGACATCTCATTTCCGTGGTTACTAATTTTCTTTTATGGTTTGTTGTGAGTGACCATGTCTGGCACTGATAGCACAGAGTTGGAATAAATATGCTTTGAATAAGATGTCTCTTTGTGCTGATTGGGATTGTCTTATGCTGTAAGAGGGGGGCTAGCTGTCCCAATACTTGGTTTTCTTTACTGCATCTAATGTCAATTTCTTTATCCAATTTCCCATCTTCGGTAAATATAGTTCCCAGATATTTAAACTCAGATGCCTGTTTAATGCCTTTGTATTCTATTGCTATGTTTAGATCTGTCTTCTTTTTTCCTCTTGACATTACTTCTGTCTTTTCAGTGTTGATTCTCATATTATTTGTTTTACATTCTTCATTCATGGATGTTAGATGTTCTTGCAATTTCATGGCTGTATCTGCTATCAAGGCCTGGTCATCTGCAAAGAGTAATTCGTTGATCTTACTAAGATCTTCATTCATGGGCTTGGCATTCTTGCACATACTGTCGATGTAGGTGATAAACAGCAGTGGTGATAAGACACACCCCTGTCTTACTCCAGATGTCACTGTGGAAGTGACATCACAACAGAGAAAATAATGAAGCAAATGCATCGACAACATCCTGACTTCAAAATGAGCAAGGTGGAGCGGCTGACACAGAGACTAAGAGCCCGAAGATATTTGCAGTCGCAGCAACGTAAATGACGGAGCTGCTCTTTAAGGTGACTACAACAGCAAGATAATGCAGCTACATAATAGTGAACAGCGCTGAAGTACCCAACAAAAATTGATCATCACGGGTGGGTTATCAGGTTGAGGAAGTGAGTGAGTTCCTAGAGACTTACGGCTTCTCGTTGTCTGGTGTTTCTTCTTCTCCTAGCCTCTCGTCTTTGTCGTCGATGTTATTCTTCATGGTTGTAGATCTGTTTTTGTTTGAAAGGAAAATATAAAATTATGTTATGTAGTAAGTTTAAGTTTAATTAGACAACAAAAACTTCTTGTCAACACTGGCATTGCCAGACATGAACACTACACAGGTAGCCAAAGAAGAATAGTAAACCAACACAGAACAGGTGTTATCGTTCGCCATACCCTGAGGTGTGTACTGAAGAAGCGCTTATGCACTTGTCCGATGTGTAATGAGAATAATCGTTTGATTAACTTTGAGTCTCAAGGAACGCATCATATGTTTATAGGTTCCTACCTAGAAGCCCAATGAACGCATGATGCGCCGATTTTATGACTATTCACTACCCCCTGGGCCTGTGATGCTAAGCCCCCTGGGACTCAAAGAGTTAACTAAATACATTATCAAATACTTAAAACTAACTGCTCGCGACTTACAAAGAGAATCTGGGAATATCGTGCACAAAGAGATTTTGGGAATATCGTACACGAGGAGATTTTGGGAATATCGTGCACAAAGAGAATCTCGGAATATCGTGCACAAAGAGAATCTCGGAATATCGTGCACAAAGAGAATCTCGGAATATCGTGCACAAAGAGAATCTCGGAATATTGTGCACAAAGAGAATCTGGGAATATGGTGCACAAAGAGATTCTGGGAATATCGTGCACAAAGAGATTCTGGGAATATCGTGCACAAAGAGATTCTGGGAATATGGTGCACAAAGAGATTCTGGGAATATGGTGCACAAAGAGATTCTGGGAATATGGTGCACAAAGAGATTCTATGAATATCGTACACAAGGAGATTTTGGGAATATCGTGCACAAAGAGATTCTGAGAATATCGTGCACAAAGAGATTCTGGGAATATGGTGCACAAAGAGATTCTAGAAATATCGTGCACAAAGAGATTCTAGAAATATCGTGCACAAAGATATTCTGGGAATATCGTGCACAAAGAGATTCTGAGAATATCGTGCACAAAGAGATTCTGGGAATATGGTGCACAAAGAGATTCTGGGAATATCGTGCACAAAGAATGGGAAAATTACATTCTTACGATTTGAGTATCCAGACTGGATGGTAAACAGTATTGTTGGATGGTAAACAGTAATTTTGGATAGTAAACAGTACTGTTGCTGTTACACTTGAAATCTTCAGCTGTTTGAAAAAAAAAAAAAAACATAATGGTTCGGAGAGAGATGTAATGGCTGGTATGGCTACTGCAAAAAGAAGCAAGGATGGACTAGCGCCATGGTCTCTCCTTCCTGCAGAGGGACAAGACAAACTTATAATCACTGCTACTGGTATCATCAGAACTCGATTCTATGCTAGATGCTGAAGATGAGAACCGAGCGCTTATGAGAATATCCCAAGTGCTTCACTT